TCTTTTCCTTGGTTTAAACCCACATTAAATACATAGCACATGTTATGCTACCCTTTAACTTTATAAATAAAACTTTCCCTGTGGATAAACAGAGAGCTTCCTTACTCTACAGAGTAGTTTTAATGACTTAGTCTGACTCTTAGCTGGGGAAAAAAAGTAACTTTTGTAGCTGATATCAGTAGTTATGGGCTAGGATTTTTTTTTTAAGATTTATTTATTTGCGCATACAAGAACTGAAGTATGGGCCAGAAGTGCAGGGGGTGAGGGTGAGAGAATTCACCAGAGCAGAGTGGGGAGCAGAACAGGCAAATAGACTGAAATTCACTGCTGAGGGGAGCAATTGGAAGGACAGAAGAGGTCTGCTCCCATATGGGTCAGCTCCCTGGCTGGGGATCAAACTGCTGCAGTGGCTGTGTATAGCTTTCTAATTCTGTGCTTTACTTGCACCACCAGAGAAGGTCCTAAGCTAGGATTTTAGAAGTGATACAATAGCTAATTAGCAGTATGGACACTGATGTAAAGCTTTATCATGTATCAATTAAAACCTTAATGTATTAAAGTTAATTCAAATGTCCAATGAAGAGAATCTGAATGAATATGCATAGCTATAATCATACAATTGAATATTTTGCATCTCTGGAAATGAATGAGGAAGATCTCAGTAAATTCCCCTATGTGGTATCTATCTAGATCCCCATGGGGATCTATTAATGAGTGGGGGAAGGTGCAGAACACAACAATAAGAATAGTACTTTCATCTAAGAAAGACAATACCAACAAAGAACATATCTTATTTGCTTATATTCAAACAATAATCCAAAAAGAAAAAAAAATGGACCAAAGCACATTAGTAAAAATAATTACCTACACAGTGAAGGAGGAAAAGAAAAATGGAGAAATAGAAATCCAGAATTTTGTTTTTAAGATTTATATATTTATGCATACAGAACTGGGGTACAGGCCAGAGGTGCAGGGGCAGTGAGAGGCTTCACGCAAGACAGAGTGGGGAATAGAACAGGCAGATCAACGAAGTACACTACTGAAGGGAGCAGTGGGCAGGTCAAGGGAGGTCTGCTACCATGTGGGTCACCTATGGGGCAGGGATTGAACTCATGCTGAACTGGCTTTAGCTTCTTAGTGTTGTGCTTTAACTGCTGCGCAACCAGGAGGGCCCAAAATCTAGAATTTTTAAGATATTTTGTTTTTATCATTTTGACTTTGAAACTATAAAATTGTTATAAAATTCGAAGATTGAATAAAAATGGAAAAGTTTTCCTTAAAAATTAAAACAAGCAATCTTAGTGAATTTTACATTGGTACCTTGTTATAGAGAATTTTTTTTCAGTTACTTTTGTACCACAGCAGTTTAAGTAAGGTCTTTGTGAATTATTCCTGTGATATTGTGACTTATCCTAAGAAATACATTCATTTGATCTTTGTTTCTTCTCTGTCTAACACAAAGCTTCTAAAACCCATGAAATTTCTTAAGTGTTAAAAGTGGCCAACATGTCTTTTGTTATGTTAATAATAAGGTGACCTGAGGATGGGGGGTTAATACCAGGGGACCCTAATTTGGGATTAGAGCTTTGGAACTTTTGGCCCTACCTCTCTGATCTCAGGGGAAGGGAGAAAGACCGCAAATGGAATAAATTATCAGTGACCAATAATTTAATCACTATATATCTATGAAACCCACAGCTCCCAAGTTGTGTGAATACCTTGCACTCGACCTGGTAGAGTGGCACACCCAATTGGAAAAAGCATGGAAGCCCCATTCCTTTTTTCCCATACCTTGCCTTTTGTAACTCTTCTTTTGGATGTTCTTGAGTGAAAGGCTGTCCAGAACTTGAATGTGTTAATGAGATTGTTAGAGACATCTAATGATGAAATTTAAGAGACTAGACTTGGAATGTAGGTGAGAGAAGGTTGCTAAGAATTTGTGGCAACATAATAGAAAATGTTATACTAGATTCTAATCTCAAAAACAGATTAAAAGATTTAAGAAGAAATGTTCTGGGCTCACATTGGGGCACTCTAAATTTAAAAAGAATGGTATTCAAATGGAAAGTGTAGTAGGCAGTTGGAAATACCACTCTAAAGAAAAGAATCCAAATAGTCATTCACATAGGAGGTGTGGGAGTAGATAGAATCGCCTAGAGAGAATGTTGGAAATTCAGAGGGTATTGTAGGAGCCAAAGCAGGAGAATATAGATCTCCTGACAGAAACTAGGTGAGTGTCATTAGCAAATTATTCTTTAAATTTCTGACCAGAATTGTAATGTATTTCAAGCTTAATTCTGGGGAGAAACAAAAGTGAACTGCATTTCAAAAGGTAGGTCTGTAGACCTGAAGGAAACTAATAAGAAACTATTTGAATGTCTATGTCTAGGATTCATGGCTTTGTTGGGAAATGCAAATCCAAAGTCACTTCAGGTAAATATGGTTTTGATAGGGACCCTTGTAGTTCTAGTCACTTCCATAAAGATAAAAAATCCCTAAGTGCAATTTCTCTGTTCTCCTTTAAACAAAACTTGTCAAAAACATTTCTATAGTTGATGTTTCTGTTGGCTCACTTACCCTTGTTTCTTTTGTATGTTCCAGTGGATCTTTCTTAATATTGCATGAAAAACATGGTTACTAAATATTAGTCTTCATTTTGTCAGAATTACAATTAATTTAGTTTGTTTGTTTTACTTATTTATGCATTCAAGAGCTAGAGTGTAGGCCAGAGGTGTGGGGGTGAGAGGATTTACCATAAACAGAGTGGGGAGCAGAACAGGAAGTTGTACTGAAATACATTGCTGAGGGGAGCAGCAGGCAAGACTGGAGAGGTCTGATGTGCCATATGGGTCAGCTTCCAGGGATCAGGGATCAAATTCCTGCTACAGTGGCTGGTGATAGATTGATAGTGCTGTCTTCAACCCCTACACCACCTGGGAGGCCCCACATCCCTCAGTGCCTTGTTAAGGAATCTAAATCATAATAAACACCTGAAACAGAACAACCACCATCACCCCTGAGCTACCCTTCTCCTGGTGTCCCCCTTTTTTTTCCCTACCCAGCATCCCACGTCGTTTATCCTGTTAGTACTTACTTTACTGTATACCTTAATCCAGTCATGCATACTTTCATTTTCTTTCTCACCTAGATAACTGGAGTAGCTTCTTAAGTTGTTTCTCCTCATTTATTTCCATTTACTCCCTATCAGTCTGTTGTTCATACACTAGCCAACTTGAATATGTAATTCCTGTGGCTTCACATTATGTTTAGAATATAATTCCAGAGCCCTTTCCATAACTTATGAGGCCTGATATGATTTACCCCCATCCACTGTTGCAGTCCTGTTTACCACTTTCTCATTGTACTTCAACTATAGAGTCTCTTTGCTATACCTCAGAGGTTGTTGCACTTGTGTTTGTTGTTTTCTGGGAAACTTTTTGTTCATATATCCATATGGCTTTATTATTTGTCACCTAATTTTCTTCTCTTCCCTCAGCATTTACACACAAGTATAATGCTTCTTAAAGGCTTGGACTCTTAGTCATCACATTGTCTACATGTCTGAAATATCACATGGCCTACAATAGTTACATGATAAATATTTGAGAGTTGAAAGTTTTCTCTACCATGAGCAAAGATAAAGAAAAAAAAAAATTATGGAGTGCTTTAGAAACCACATACACTTTAGCATACTAGTACTAAACCTAGAATCAATGAGTGATAGAAACAAGGTAAAGTACTCCATTTTTGTGACCAACTTTCACCCTTTTTGTCCTAACAATGTATTGAAACTTGGTTATTTATTTAGCAAGGCTTAAAATGGCAAAGAAAAAAAAAAAACTAGGAAGGAGTTGGGCAGAAAGTAAAAAAACTTATCCTAGCAATAAATAGTAAAGTTATAAATTCATATAAAACTAGTCACAGATGGGGTATAGAATAAAAAAGGAATCCTAAACCTTAGGGAATACTACTTTTTAAAGCAGGTACAGGAAAAGTTATCCATGAAGGAAACTGGTATATGTGCACTGGTAGATAAGAAAAAGAATATATTATGTTCTCCAAGCAGAGGAAGTATGTACACATGTGAGAGAGATGTGTCTCAAATACAATGAAATGTAAAGGAGTTCTTTAAACGGTTAGCTCTAACTCCAGAGGAAATGTGAAAATAGATGTAAAGCTATTCCCCTGGCAAATTTTAATATTCAATGATCTGTGTGCTTTGTATATATTTTTTAATTCAGTTCTTTACCATGTTAACCTCTTTTGATGTCTACTTATTGTTGATCCTTGACTCTGCCTGCATAACCTTTTGCTTAATATATGAACAAGGTTGCCTTCTTTTTGCACCTTTTTGCTTCATGTCTTCCTATTAACAATCCTATAGATTCTGTGTATTCTATGAAAATTCTATGGATTAATTCAATAGTACCTTTCCGATTGACCTGGTCTGAAACATTCATTAATTATGTGATGTACTGTCCTGGAAGGCAATTTCTGTAAGTGAATTGTTAGTATGTGTGTGAAATTAATATACAAGTGAGGATATATACCACTATTCAGACTAGAAATATGTAAGTATTTAAATAACACAGCATGTTCTATATGATAACAATATTCAAGAAGATCTAAGTTAATAGGGCATGCTATATTAAAAAAGGAAAATAAGTATCTTGAGAGATTTAACACAGTGGTTAGTACTATCATACAGGGAAACTCATCATATTGTGGAAACTCATTTGATATGAGGGAAAGGAGGAAAGACCAGAGTGGAATGATTACACAAAGAAGAAACATGTCATGAAGATAATTTAATAGTTCACCGTGAGCTTTTAACTTTGATCCTAGACTGTGAGCCCCAGGTCATGTTTCTCTTTTAATTCCTTTTCTCCATTCTATTATTAACTACTCCTTGGTCACTCCTAGTTTAAACATTCTGTACATTTAACCTCTATGGTCAAATGTTGTATCACATAAACTATCTTCAATGTTTCCCCTTCTAGGATGGAAGAGCAGCCATAAAATCACAAAGTCAAAACAAATACAAGATTCTTCACTTCAGGAGTTGGTAATGAAAAGCTCCAATAGGAATGGACGCTGGGACTTCAACAAATCAGAAAAACTCTGTATATATGAAGACAGATTGGAAAAAAAAGGAAGTATCCAGATAGTTTCAGTTACCAACAAAAAATTTCTCATTGTAGAAAGAAGACATAAAAATATTGAAGTTGACCAGAACTTCAGCCCAAAGTCCGACCTTGTTAGGCAACAGATAGTTCCCAGACAAAAAACACCACCAAAAGGTGAACTACAAGGAAATAGTTTCAAGCAGAATTCAGATTTACTTATTCAGCCAAAAATCAGCATAGCAGAGAAACGCTATAAATGTAGTATTTGTGAGAAGACCTTCACTAACACATCATCCCTTCGTAAACATGAAAAAAACCATAGTGGAGAGAAATTATTTAAATGTAAAGAATGTTCAAAAGCCTTTAACCAAAGTTCAGCCCTTATTCAACATCAAATAACTCATACTGGAGAGAAACCCTACATATGTAAAGAATGTGGGAAAGCCTTCACTCTTAGTACATCCCTTTATAAGCATTTAAGAACACATACTGTGGAGAAATCCTATAGATGTAAAGAATGTGGTAAATCTTTTGGCCGAAGGTCAGGCCTTTTTATACATCAGAAAATCCATGCTGGAGAAAACCCCTACAAGTACAATCCAGGCAGGAAGTCGTCTCTTCCTGGATGTCAGAGAATTCACTCCAGAAAGAAGTCCTATTTGTGTAATGAATGTGGCAATACCTTTAAATCTAGCTCATCCCTTCGTTATCACCAGAGAATACATACTGGAGAAAAGCCTTTTAAATGCAGTGAATGTGGGAGAGCCTTCAGTCAAAGTGCATCTCTAATTCAACATGAAAGAATACACACTGGAGAAAAACCCTATAGATGTAATGAATGTGGTAAAGGTTTCACTTCTATTTCACGACTTAATAGACACCGTATAATTCATACTGGTGAGAAGTTTTATAACTGTAATGAATGTGGTAAAGCCTTAAGTTCCCACTCAACACTTATTATACATGAAAGAATTCATACTGGAGAGAAACCATGTAAATGTAAAGTGTGTGGGAAAGCTTTCAGACAAAGTTCAGCTCTTATTCAACATCAGAGAATGCATACTGGAGAAAGACCCTATAAGTGTAATGAGTGTGGGAAAACATTCAGGTGTAATTCATCCCTCAGTAATCATCAGAGAATTCATACTGGAGAAAAACCATATCGTTGTGAGGAATGTGGGATATCTTTTGGCCAAAGTTCAGCTCTTATTCAGCATCGAAGAATTCATACTGGAGAAAAACCCTTTAAATGTAATACATGTGGGAAAACTTTTAGACAAAGCTCATCACGCATTGCCCATCAGAGAATTCATACTGGAGAGAAACCTTATGAATGTAATACATGTGGGAAACTTTTCAACCACAGGTCATCCCTAACTAATCATTATAAAATTCATATTGAGGAGAACCCTGAATAGATTTGCATGTTTGAAAGCCTTAAACTGAAGTTCATCTGAATACATTAAGAATGATGTAGAAAGTGTAACAGATATGAAAAAACCTATAATTTAGTTCTCACAGGTAATAATTCCGAAGGTATCTCTTTACTATATAATAGAACATGAGGAAAGTGTTCATTCCTGTTAGAACCTTTCTAAAATAACCTGAAATGAAGAATTTCACAAATGAAGGCATTGACTTTGGGAATTTGTAAAAATTTTTATAGCATTTTAACATATAGAAGATTTGGTCAGAGGAATTATACATTTTTAGAGAAAAGGATCAAATAAAAATGATTTAAAATGAACTGTTAACTACCTCACAATTTCTGGGGTTAGTCCTTTTCCTGACCCACTGTCAAATTTTGTGCATGGATTTCACTTAAAAGTAGTAATAAAAGTCTACTCTTTTGTTCTTTTGTAGTAGCGTGAACTAGTAATGTTATATCTAATTCCTAATACTGGAATTTTTTTCTCTGGGTTTGTTATGAAAAGACACCTGCTAGATAATGTGAGCCGTCATCTTAGGTATATTAAATGGAAAAATGCAATTATTTCAAGTTTAAAGTTTACCTATACATGCTATAGTGTATTTGCAGTAGAGGCTATCAGTTGTACCCAAATCTTGAAAGACTCATCATTTTAATGCTTGGTGCTCTATAGTAACAACTTTAAAATGAAAGAAACACAAATAATACAGAATTTTTTTCAAATGCAAGCTGTAGGACAGGCATTGTACTACATAATGAAAATTTTAAGGATAGACCCAGCCACAAACTGCAAAAAAAGAAGATGCAGTTGGGGGACTAGCAGGTAAGTAAGCAAGTTATGTCACAATATGTTAAGTGTGGTTGTTAAGCAAACGTAATAATATGTTGCAGTATACGAATGACATACAGGTATACACAAGATGAGGAGATGATTGTCATCAAGGAAACCTGAGCTAACAAAAACTTTACAGAGCCAGCTTTTGAAATAATATTAGGAAGTCTGTGGAGATAAGCACCCAAAAAAAAAAAAGAAAAGAAAAGAAAATGTATGTGTAAAGAGGCCAGTGGGAATATCCTGACACATTCATTTGTGAAAACTCAACTGTAGGGCTAAATGAGCCTGTGTCAGAGAAAAAGACAGGAAGAGGTAACAAAAGGCCTATTTACCATTATAAGAAGTTGGATTTTCTCCTAAAATAGGTGTGGGTCAAATGATAGAAAATTATTTGAGCAATTGTAGAGGATTAATTTAGAGAATTGAACAAAGTGTGTAAACTTAAATCTGTACAATTGTAATTCAATGGTTCCAAACTCAAGTGGGAACAGTCTGTATGGAGAATAGAAGATAAAGTATTAGGAAAACATGATTTTTGTGAATATATGAGGTTGATCCTCCCTGATGGCGCAACAGGTTAGGATGCAGCACTGCAAGCTAGCCACAGCCACTTCAGTGCACGTTCCATCCCCAGCCCTGTAGGTGATCCACATGGTGCAGCAGACTTCCTGTCTTGTCTGCTGGTGGATCCTTTCAGTACCCCTGCACCTCTGGCTTGTACCCCAGTTCTGTACGCACAAATAAGTCTTAAAAATACTGATTTAAAAATAAAAACCTTTAAAAATTATATATATATGTAATGTTGGTAAGTGAGAAAGCGAAGCCGACTCAGAAGGTTGGCAAGTGATATGTCCTGCATTTAATGTGTTGTCCTGTAAACTGTTATGTCTCTGGTCAACATTAATTTAACCTTCACCATCACCACTAGAAGCAAAATTTCAGTAGTGCTACTTTTCTGTTTCAGCATTGGTACTGTTATCTGAATGGCAACATTAGATGAAAACCATTATTTACAGATCAGCTGAAAGTCAGCAGACAGCCCAGTATCTCCAGATACCAACCTGTGAATGCCTCACTCCAGTGACCTGCTTCTGAAAGTATGCCAGTCAATTACAGCCATATTCAAGTGATCACAAATATACTTGGAAATATATCCATAAACTCCTTTTTCTAAAAATCCAACTAACTTGACACATATAATCAGCTCTCCCTTGCTGATATACATAAACTTCACATACTAAGTTCAATTTCTTACTAGTTTGCCTGGATTTTAACAAGCCCAAATTATTGCTATAAACTCAGTGCAGTGAGTGACAAATTGACTAGTGAGGCTCTGATACTATGAATTCAATATTCTCAATTCTTATGATTGCTTTTATTTGAATTCCAAATACAATTATAAATGTAATGATTAATTTTCAAATATTGTACATTAAGCCAAATGTCACTTTGAAGCCTTCTGTGCTATGAAATTGTGCATTTAGTATTAAAAAATGATGGAAAGTCAGGTATAAAAAAAGTCAGCATATGTTAACAACTTGATAGCAAGTAGAAGAATAAAGTGACAAATTTCCTGGTGAGAAATTCAGATAAGAATTGCAGGAGATGGGCGCCCCCTGGTGGTGCAGCACTTCCGCACAAGTTCAATCCCCGCCTGCCCCGGAGGTGATCCACATGGCACCTCTCCTGACCCGCCCGCTGCTCCCCTCAGCAGTTTACTTTTTTGATCTGCCTGTTCTGCTCCCTACTCTGTCTCTGGTGATCCCTCTCACTGTCCCTGCAACTCTGACCTGTACCCCAGTTCTGTATGCATAATAAAAAAAAATTTAAAAAAAAAAAAAAGAATTGCAGGAGACACCAACAAAATGGCAACAGAGGACACTCCTGACACTACTGAGAGAATCCTATAATATAGAAGTCAGGCTGAAGCCCCTGGACCTCAGAAACTAACACAGACCTCACTAGAAGGAACAGGAAATTAATGTGTTGTTGGAATGACACACGGACGTAGTCTGAGTTGGGAGGATAATGAAAATGACAAAGCTTCCAACCTAAACAAACATCCTCAGGGAAAGTAGAGAAAGTATGGAGGCCCATGCCCTCAGCCCAAGACAGAGAAGCTTAGGTATTCTACGTGGACTGGCACCCTGGCAAAGAAGACAATAAAGCAAATCTAATCTACCCTCCCCAAAACCTTGGGATTTGTACTTGCATTGTAATATATATAACTTCAAGTAGATTTCTAACTTCCATAACTGGGAGTCTAAAAAGTAAGAATAGTAGTAGGAATGAGTCAATGAACTTGAAGAAAGATAACTAAAAATGATTCTTGTGCAAGAAGAAAGAAGATAATTTTTAATAAATGAATTTATTCTGACTGCAAACTACTTAGATGAGGAGTTGCTTGATGTTACATGCAAGACTGTTGCCAATATGACGGAGTGGGAAATTCCTAAAGATATTTGCAAGACATTTAATATATGACCACTGAAGAAGCAACCTAGGAATGCAAAGAGAACAAGTGGTATGAAGAGAAGTGAAATGCTGTCCCTGGCATTATAAAACTAAGTTTTGTTCCAAACACTAATTGCATTGCCATGGTTATAATTAGACAAACATGGTTAACATTAGACAAACAGTAGACAAATACAGCAGCAAATCAATTTATTAGTAGGATACTTTTTTATGAATTAACATTGCTTTAGATCCTTGTTAATGGTTTGACAATATAGGATTTCTCCACTTAGGTGTGGTTACCTTTATTCTCCCATGACAAGAACATCCATAGTCCTCTACCATAATTCATGGTGTTCTCCCTTCACCCCATCTTCACTCCTTCCTCCCTCTCTCCCCCTCCTCAGACCTATGGTCAGCTTCCAAGGGTAGGTTTTATGTTTGTCTCCTTTTTTTTTTTCTATATCTAACATATAAGTGAGACCATGTGGTATTTATCTACTTCTGGCTTATTATACTAAGCATAAACCCTAACAGCTCAGTGTTTCTTCTAATAAGAGTTTTATTTAATCTGGGTAGTATTCTATTGCTTATATATACCATATCTTCTTGAGTCACTCATCTATTTCTGAGCACATAAGTTTGCAAATCATGGCTATTGTCAACAGTGCTGCAATAAACAGGAGTGCAGATTTTCTTCTGAATTAGTATTTTTGTGTTCTTTGGATAGATTCCTAGAAGTGGGGTTGCTGAGTCATATGGCAAATCCATTTTATTTATTTATTTATTTATTTTGAGGAAACTCTACACTGCTTTATATGAGGGCTGGACCAGTCACATTCCTACCAACAATGTAAGAATGTTCCCTTTTTCTTCACACCCACCAGCACTTGCTTCTCATCATTTTGATATGAGCCGTGCTCACTGGTATGAGATCGTATAGCATATTGGTTTTGATTTACATTTCCCTGATGATGAATTGTTTTCACATTCTACTTGGCCATTTGTCTCTGAAGAAATTCTTTACATTTTTATTGAGTTATTTGTTGCCTTTTTCTTGAATTGTATTAACTTTCAAAATATTTGACATTGTCTCATCAGATGTATATTATGCATATATTACATTTAGTAGACTGTGTCTTTGTTTTAGTTACAGTCTTTCACAGAAGCATCTTAATTTTATGTTTTCTTATGTATATTTAAGTATTTTATCCATCTAGACTTAATTTTTGTGTATGATGTGAGATGGTGGTCTAGTTTCATTCTTTTGCATGCAGTGTCCAATTTTCCCAACACCATTTACTGAAGAGGCTTTCCTTTTTCTAGAGTATATTATTTGCTACTTTGTCATATTAACTGTCCACTTATGTGTGGTTTTTTGGGGGTCTCAATTCTATTCCATTGATCTGTGTGTGTTTTTGTTACAGCAGGTGTGAGGAGTGAGAGGATTCACCAGAGACAGTGGGGAGAATAGGCATACTGGTGAAGTATACTGCTGAGAGGAGCAGCAGACAGGTCAGGAGAGATCTGGTATGTCATGTGGGTCACCTCCCTAGCCAGGGATCATGCTGAAGGAGCTGTGGCCAGCTTTGCAGTGTTGTGCTTCAGCACACTGCACCACTAGGGGAGCCCCATGTGACCTAGTTTTTTGCTTAAAGCTATTATGTCTTCATTTTGGGGACAGAGCTAAAACAGGCATTACTGCAAAGAAAACAACCAAATGGCCAATAGGTACATGAAAAACTGTTCATCAGTTATCATCAGGAAAAGATAAATCAAAACTACAAGATACAACCTCACAACAGTGAAAAATGACCAACATCAAAATTATCAAAAACAACAAATGCCAGCAAGGATTTGAAGAAATAGGAACACTTACATTGTTGGTAGGAATATTGACTTCCAGCCCCTATGGGAGGCAGCATGCAGGTTTCTCAAGAGATTAAAAATGGATTTACCATATAGTTCAATTCCACTCCTAGATATCTATATCTGTATCTATCTATATTGTAAAAGGAAATTGCACTCCTGTGTTCTTATATATCTATATATACACAGATATAAATTTATAGATATATCTCCTATATATATCCATATATAGAGATAGATATAGATACATGTATCTATGTAGATATAGATATTCTGTCATCAAAAAGGATAAACTTGGGCAATTTGTAGCAATCTAGATGGAATTAAAAGAGATAATGATGAGTGAAA